AACTTACGGATGACAGGGACCCCCCCGGCGTGGTGGTCTCTGTGCGGGCTTATATCCGGATGTCTCCTGGCCCACAGCAGGTACCAGAACATCCAGATCAGGCTGATCCCCATGAGCACCAGCAGGAACACCTCGGGCTCCTGGTGGCTCAGACACTCAGGGTTGAAGTTTTCGCCGACCACCAGAGCGGTTCCCAGCAGAACCACATTGAGACCCACCAAACCAGAGATTAGACGTCTCCCACTGGGAACCCACAGCAGCACCGGGTCCAGCTCCTTTTCATGAGTCTGATGATGGTCTAAACTCTGGAGCGGTTCATCACTAGTGGGAATTTCAGGTGTCCCACAGACAGTATCCAGCTCCAAGTCTCCAGCATCACGATCCGTGCTCATGCTTTTTCCTCTCGTCTACAAAAGACACTTGTTTCCTTTCCTTTCAGCTGAAGTTCAGCGAGGAGACATGCGACAGTCCTCTAATGCGCCTTCCCACGGCTCCCACACGGCTGTAGGTGTGGTCATGATTTTAACACACCTACACAGGAAATGCATCATATTTACTTTGCAAACTGGTTCTTTATTCACCTGCTGAGCAATTCGGACAAAGTTTACTTAATAGAAAGATTAATGAATTATTAATTTAAAAAAAAACTAACAATCTAATCTAAAGGCTTGCATGTGGTATTTGTCAGTACACAGCATTACAGAACTGAAATGTATGAACCTGCCCTCTGCCAGCAAGTAGCAGAGTTTACAAACAAGCCGCAACAGGACCTGACTTACGTGTGTGACGTCATTCTTATCGCTTCGCCGCTTCGAGCGGCAGTAATGGTTGAGTGGGAACGATAACCTGATCAGCTGATTATTTTTATTTTCACTCTTTAATGACACAAAGCTGTCTGCTTGCTGTGTATGGAGGGCCAAAGCATATGCATTATTAAATACAATTTTTAATTCTTTATTTAGACATTAAAAATGTATTAATTAACTCATTAATAAATATTTCAAATCACAAACGGATTTCACAAAAAATAATTAAACTCTCTACAAATACCTAATTTCATAAAGCATTAAAAAAATACAGACCTTCAAGATCTTTAAAAAACAATTTAAAAAAGAGAAATAAGTAAATGGATTTAAAAATCAAAGATTTATTTGTGACAAAAAAATGGTGAGTCCACTCCTCATCTGCAAATCCATTTCCTCACTGCGTTTCCCTTTCCTGTTAGCTCATGCATTAGATCATATTAACCCTCTGCCAAATCAAAGAGCAGAGATGACACGAGTACACACATTTCTGGCCTCTTCAAAATCTGATATCTTGATGAATATAAAAAATTTATGCTTTCGAAGCAGGAAGTGCTGTAAAGATTTGCAGGGTCAACCAGCGCACAGGAAGAAAGTTTGCATTCTTTGTAAAATGCTGGATCGTGTATGATTTGTCTGAGACCGTGTGTCATCATATGGGGATTTTACAATATGGCAGCTTTGCACTATGCTGTAAAATAAACCCATTGTCCTCGTATGAGACCACGTCTTTGTGCTCAAAGATGATGCCGAGCTCTTATACTTACAAGGTCCAACTAATCTCAAGTAGCAGAAATTAAAAACCCAAACAGCAAACTGGGTTTAGCTGTTAGGAGGATCTGTAATCGGTCAAAGCGGTGATTTTCACATATATTGCAAGAATCTTAACTTTCCCACATCTTTAGGCAGCATTTCAGCATCCAACAGCTCTTTCTTTAGTCTCAAATAGCTGATTTAATTCTACTGGAGTCAATGGTTATTATTGGGAGATGAGTGATCTCTCCCATTGACAAAATGTCCAGAGGAACTGAACTTTTGGGCATATCATTACCTGGAAATTAATTATTTCAATAAGACATTTTTTTATTTTTTATTTTATTTCTCTGACATCATTTTCAGCCTTAGTAAGCAGAAAAACAAACACTGTAAACTATCTACCAATCATCACACAGAAATTATTATTCAGAAAGGCATTATTCTTGGGAGTTTGAGAACATAAGCTGAAGAGAAATGCCAGTTAAGCTTGATAGCGGTGTTCTTTGATCTCTGCTGAATATAACTAAAGTTTATTATTCACATTCACCTCTCTGTGCATTAAAATTCAGTATGACTAGTGATCTGTCGATCTGCACATGTATGATCTAATGCAAAATGGAAAAAAAACAAACAATCATTCATTTATGTAAAAACCTTTACTCCTCTGAAATAAAACTCATGAAACAAGTTATAATTTTTGAATGATTTTTAATTGTGCGTTAAAGCAGAACGACATTAGGAGCTAAAGCAGAGGACGCAGAGTAGAACATGACTGAGGCGTCTCTCCTGCATGAAGTCCAGGTTGCAGGTTTTCCAGTGTGGGTGCCTGATGGCAAAAAGCTAACACCAAGTGCTGTCAAAGCCATAACATCCTCTATGAACATGACATGGAACAGATGCAGGTGTGTCCTTATCACCCAGAGGAGTCCAAGTTGTCAAGAACAAACAAACCTGCAAACACAAATCAATTGAAAATGTAAACATCAGCCAAAATATCAGCAGGGATTTAATAACTTTATGACCGAAAATTATTTCCACATCATTTATTGTATTGATCTCAACATTCAGGGCCTTTATTGGGACAGTCCCTACAGAGCATACAGAGAAAATGAATAAACTGAATCAATTTCAGCCTTGGTTTTCAATATAAATATACTTTATTAATAACTACGTTTCCCCATGTGTATTTTTGACTGCATATAGGTACTGTAGGTGCAGTTAGTCATTGCAATATACTGAATATTCAATGCGATCATTTAACATAGTGTGTCAGCGAGGCTGGGATTAGGTGAACCTGGCTGTTGATGATCATCTATGTCCAGTTTAGAATGAATGTGTGCACTCGTCTAATTAAAACAAATGAACTTAATTCAGCAGCGTGTCATCTCTACTCTTTGCCTTGGCAGATGTTTCAGTTCTATTAACTTTAACTACCAGAAAGGTGTGTGGTAACATCTGGGCAGACAGCATTTTAATCACGAGTTTAAAGGCTGTAGTTTGCCGCCATTGCTCTATATATGTGTATAAATGTAACAGGGCTCAGCGCTTGCTCTGAACGGTGTCAAGCTTTATTTGTGAAGAGCATATTAGCTTACTAAAAACGTACCTATCTAGAACTGCTGGGACGTAATATTTTCATTAGCTAAGGTGATGCTAGTGTTAGCCATGTTAGCATGCTACCTTCTTCAACCGGGGCACACTCGGAGCTTCGGCACTCCATTTCTCGGCAGAGTCCCGTCATATACTTCTTATCTCCGTGTTGTTCAGAGTGTAAAAGCCGAGACTGAATGCCCTTTATGTATGTTTAGCAGTACAAAATTATAGGTACAAAAAAGCACCTTAACAAAATCCAGGTAGCCAGCCTGAGTCTCTGTAACCAATCAGAGAGCTCCTTCCATCACACACCGTGCGTTAGTTTTTCTCGAAGGAGCAGAATAGTCAAGGAAGTGCTAAACGGAGAAGCTAATCCGATAGTTACTCCCAAAACTGAAATTGAGGGCAGGGATGGCCAATTTGAGTTTGAAAGTAAGTTTCTAAATTTAAATTTTAAATTGTTTTGTTTTTTTTATTTAGAGCTTGTGTTTTTTTGTTAAATCCACTTGAATTATTTATGTATCAATAATTCTTTTTGAAATACTGATATATAGTTATTGTTGTTTTTTCACATTAAATAAATAATACATTACTTTTATGATCTCTAAATAAATAAAAGAATAAAAAATATTTATTCTGATGCACATGTGGAGAAATATTTTAAGAATGTGGGGATGATGAATGAGCTGAAAAGGCAACAAAAAAAGCATTCAAAATTCGATCAAAAAATAAATAAATTGCTGATAATTGCCCCAAAGCCACGTCTCTGGGGCAACTATTTTCTCGCAGATTTCAGTTTTAAGTAATTCTATGCTCGTAATGAGCAATGAGGAAAGGCGGTGTGTGGGATCGTCTGGGCCACGCCCCCTGCTTGACAACCAGCACGCCTGGTGTTCGTCTCCCAGCAACCAGTCAGTTCGCCGCTACGTCCCGTTGCAGGCCGTCCGGACTCCCGGAGTGACAGTTACCTCCACATCCAGGCTTCCATGGAACCGGACTGGGACTGAGCCGAGGTGTCGCCATGAACGACCGGTATCACCGGGCGGCCCGGGACGGCTTCCTGGACGTGCTAAAGGAGGCCACACGGAAGGATCTGAACGCCCCGGACGAGGATGGGATGACACCGACCTTATGGGCCGCTTACCACGGCAACCTGGAGGCGCTCCGGCTCATCGTGAGCAGAGGGTGAGTTCAGAACCACACCAAAATAGAGAAAAGTACTCTAAAAGTTGTATAAAAATTATATATATGTGATAGATAGATAGATAGATAGATAGATAGATAGATAGATTAGTTCATGTATTTTGGAAATATGGAAGTCACACATTTAAGATTTTTAATTGTGATTTACAGTATTAAAAATAATGAAATAATTTAAAAAAAAACGACACAATTAAAATGGGTGGATGGATATATATACTTCATATGATTTTTATACTTTAATAAAATTCAAAATATTATAGGATATTGTATGTTTTTCTTTCTTGTATTTTAACTACCTCATGGCAATGAGTTGATGCTGCAGCACAGCAGCTAATCATCCATCAGTCTATCTTAAATGAACTATTTTTCCAT